CTTTCCATGCCAACCCCACATGAACTTTTTTTTTTTTCCCCCACAGTGACAGCAGTGGCCACTAAAAACACTGCGGCCATTGTGCGTAAACAAGCAAATATGAACAATGCAATTTCACTAAATTAGACAATTAACTATTACAGCATGAACAACCCATTTACAAGAGGTTAGGCTAACTGAATTGAACTCAGTTGCACCCCTCTGTGACCTGTAGTGGTCACAGACAGGTTCCGTGGCCTCCGTCCATGGCTCTTTGGCACACTGACTACTCCCAGATAGCGAGGTGTGTTGAGTAGGTCTCAGTTGTCCTTCATTCACCAAATCAGTTCCTCTTTGTTAACCTTGTTTACCAATGCCATAACAACCATTTGAGCTTTTTAGCAGCCTTACTTTAAGTTAGTCAAAATGAATGACACCATTCAGATTTTTTTGTCATTATTAAAAAAATTCTGTCGATGGAAAATATTTAGTCAATGTAACCTCTGTGTACAACATATTAGAATAGTGCTAATTACCATAATGCAGTTAATTATAGTATTATGTCAGTAAGATAAAATAATCCATGGAAAATTAATACATAGTAAGAATCAGAACAATAACTGCAAAAAAACAGTATTTGTCATATTTACAAGTGAAGTGGCTTCATGAAATGTGCAATGCTGAGTGTATTACAGTATATCTCGTGTCAGTGCAGATTAGATTTGAGCCACCCAGCAGCCCCTCCAGCACATGGCTGACAGAGACTGTGACAAGGGACAGAAAGGCTGATTGAAGGATTAATGAGCGGTAGCAGACTGAAGCTGGCCCTGCAGTGACCAGAGGAGATATTCCTCCCACTCCTCCACCTCCCACTCTAGGAGCAGTACAGTCATTTCCTCACACAAGATCCACTTCATTTCTCTGCTCAAAGTTTAATATGTACATGGCCACTCCTACCCTCCTCTCTTAGCACCCACACACCCGCTCTCTCTTATTCACTGATCCAATTAAATTTGGTGACCTTGCTCTTACTTGTTCATAATAATCCCTCAATTTCCTCTTCATCTTTGGTCTCCAGCCCTTCTCTTAACCTATGTGTGTTTTCTTCATCATATAAACATTTAGTTCGTCAGCCACAGTCACTGGTGCATCCCAAAGTTCAGCAGCCAGTTAAGTAGTTGTTACAATAAAAACCTTACTGTCGACTCAGTTAGAGATGAGATGATCCACGCTGAAAGTTATAGTATGACTCACCTCTGCCGTCCATTTCCTGCTTATCTTTTGATCAGCTCCATATTGCTTTCAAATTAAAAAAACTAATTTTTGTTTCTCAGTTTCTACTTCAAGACCAAACTTTACCCACACATTTTAGTTAGATGGACTACTGGGTATTCTGTCAATTTGTTTTCTACTGGAAAAAAATGGCAAAAGGTTTTATTTTAGCCAACTTGGGTCTTGGGGTGGTAGTGTTGGTCATTTGGCTGACTGGTTCATTGTTTGGTCCAGATTTAAATATCTCTGCAACTGTTATTTTGTAAAGAAATTCACAGTTCGTCACATGGAACCCTGTGACTTTGGTGATGGATTTTATTTATGTATTTATTTTTTATCTAGTGCCACTGGCAGGTTGAAATTTTTGGTTTCAAGTGAGATAGCTTCATAACTATTCCTTTAGTGCTTCTTGAAGGTCAAAATATTCATTGATCTAGTAAAATATCTCAACTTCTACTAGATGGATTTCCACACAGTTTGGTTCAGACATTCATGCTCTCCAAAAGATGAATCCTATTGACTTTGATGTTCCCCTGACTTTTACTTTGCACCAGTTGAGGTGGGAATAAGGGAGTAATTTCAGATACAGCCTTAGTCTGGGAGAATGAGCTAAATTTAGCAGGTTATAAGGTACAGAAACATGTTTAGGAAACTGTAGCATTACTACCGTGGCAGATCCAAGGGTAATGTACAGCATGTTCAGCCCTTTAGTAAAGAATCAGGTAGCAGTGATGAATTTCTGTGGAATGCAAAGCAGGCTAAGCCAACACCTCAGCAGGTTTACCCTCCAACCTCTTCAGTTATACCACTACACATGTTGCCCTACCACAGGGGTGCTGTGGCTTCCTCCATGTTGTTTTTTTTTCTTCTTCGGAGATATTTTTGACTAAAACCAAACCCAATGTTCCCTTATCAGCTCTGGCTGAATCATTTTTCAATCCTGAGTCATGGTTGAAACGAATTATTGTTTATTTTTGACAGTGCCCTTTCTCTGGCACTTACACTAAACCTGAAGTGATGCAGTTCAGCTCAGATGGCACAGACATTTTCAAAAACCGCTGAGTTTTAGGCAAGAGCCAAGTGATGACAGGTCTGAAACTAAAATTACCACCTTGCTGTTGTATGCGTTTGCCAACCAGCCAAGTTGCAGTTTACATGCATGTCTGTCCAGACTTAACCAGTCAAAAGCCCTCTCATACACTCTGTGCTGGGTTCGAAGCTAGCTACCATAGCATTAGTTGTCTCTTTTCATGGCTCCAGTTGTTATAAAAAAAAAGATTTAACCAGACTGTGAAAAGCAGCTGGTAGTCCTGTAACATCAGTGCTCCACACTTCATGCCATGATTCATATGATGACACAGAGTTGTCATCTTCTTCTTTGGTCCCTATCTAGTGGCTAAGGAAGGGTATTGACCCAGTAACCAGTATGCTCCTGTGGGTGCCATGGGAGTTCAGACCCATATGGTTTCTTGCCTAATTTCTCCTGTTTGGTTCTGGTCACCTTGGCAGAGTGACCAGCCGCCAACCTCCTTTTTACAGCTGGGTCTTAGAGCTGGACAGGCCTTTCCCGAGTGAGGTAGAGTAACTGGATCCAGGATAAGTCACAGAAGTTGTTTTCACACATGAATTCTGGACTGTGTTCGTTGAATCAGGCTCGGCCTTTGTCCAGAGTTGCCCTTTCACACAGGTAGCATGCGTAAAGATTTTCAAGGCTCCGGTGCGAGTCTGAAAAGTACAGAGTGCTCACATCACAGATGAGCTAAGAGCAAAAAGCAGTGGCTAACAGTTTCCCCTTCTTCTTTTCCTTTCTTATCTCTCATCAGTGCCTGAGGGATCTTACATAACTCTGCACAAGGGTTGCAACCTGCTGCCATGTCTGTTCTCTGTTTGTTTAGGCCTTTCTGTCTGTTTCTGCCAGACACCATTTTTAGTTAATCAATGTGTGTATGTCTGGGGATTTGCTGTTGTCTTTTGCAGCAAACACAAACAAAACACAATCAAAATGTTTAATCTGTGCTTCAGTTGACTTTCAGAAGTAAAAGTGAAGCAATATTAAATGATGTTGTACAGGGGAAAACAATGACGTGCCTCTGTTCACGACACAAACAGCAAAGCATAGATTTTGTACATAAGGACTTTAGAACAAGTTCTCTTGGTTATATCCTTCCCCCCCTTTGTTTCACGAATGTCAGGCACACTCAGGACCTGTGCTGTTCATTAAAGAGACAGTAAGTCACACTGCTGCCATGTGGGATCTCATTATCCTTCAGCAGCAGGAAGAACCTTTGAATTTATTTTCTATTGCTTTAGATCAGCTGTTGGATATGAATTCCCAATCCACACATGACTACTCTCATTTTGGAATTCAAATTCACTTCCATGCAGGAATCCCGGCTTCAAGCCTTGGTGGAGAAAATGACCAAGTGGCTGGAGGCATTGTGTTTCTGGTCGTCCGTCCCATTCTTGTGAACGTGACAACTCAGTTGAGGAAATGTTGTCAAGTTTGGTACTAATGTCAACTTGGACTCAAGGAGGAATTTGATAGATTTTGGTGGTCAAAGGTCAAGGTCACAGCGACCTCCCATTTTTTTGTGAATGCTAAACATCAGGAACACCCTGAGCGGCTTTCTTCAAATTTGGCACAAATGTCCACTTGGATTCAAAGACGCTCTCTATCAGTCCTCAGTACTCATCTGTAAAAACAGGGACAGCATGTTTCACTGGAAATTATTCCAGAGCCATCAGTTGAGTTGGCGCCCTAGATGGCAGCCTCGGTTCTGTACCGGAAACAAATTCCTTGGCGAAATAAAGGTGATTGATTGATTGGTGTAAACTGCAAGTTACGTTTGGCAGAGGTATATAATTCTAGTTTAAAGCTGCACTACTCGATATTTGTATATGGGCAATGGGTGCAATGACTGTAATGTGAAAAGAGTAGTTTGTAGTAACATACTGAGATTGGTCAGTTTGCAGCTCCCCTATGGAGATTTCCAACTCATTGTTTTGGATTTTACAGCCCCCAGAATTATTGTTTTTCATTCAGTCTCATCAGTTTATTTCACCAGCTGCTGTTTTTGTTTTGGGTAGATGGGTGGATTATGCTACTTGCCCACCACCAAAGAGCAGCTGGAGGAAGTTATCAAGCAGCTAGTTGCTCCATAGTGCAGCATTTAGCAGCTCGAGAGCCAGGAGGTTGAGGAGGGGTTGAAGACCAAAACAGGGCTAAAAGGAGAGTGAATAATGGACTTGACACACATGAAAAATGATTCTACATGAATGCTCATGTTGATCCAAGGCTGGACATGTTAACTTGTACCCGTGTTGCGTACACATATCAACATTGAAGCCATAATGTGTTAACCATGTGCAGCTTTAAGTTCAGTTAAGTTGATGTAGCAAGTTTTGTATTTTATTACAGCAACTTTTATATGTATTAGAACAATGAATGAACAATTTTGTACCAATGCAGTGTGGCAATTTGTATTTTTATGTTGAAACAACCTAATAATTTTTGCTGTGAAATCTGCTATGCTTTTCCAGATTTAGTGTTCCCTGCAGCTTTTGTGTGGCTGATGTTTGCATACATACACACATGCCTGCAGGTGTGTGACGGCTCGCAGTGTTCGTCAGCGCCAACCTGCTGTGACTTACAGCTGGCCAAACCTGTCAGAGCTAACCACACACAGTAAACAGTAACCCCCATGCCAGACGTTTCAAAATATGGCTCTGTGTTCCCTGCTGACTGCCTGCCTCCTCCCTTTATCTGTAACTCAGCCAAAATACACTTATCAAGGTGCTCAGTGGTTGTAATCTTTGAAACTCTCATTTTTCATATAAGTGTTTTACCTGTTGATTGTCTCTCTTGTAGGTCCTAAAATTTGTGCTCTAGAGGCCAAACGTTTTTATTGCTTTGTCTAGTCTATGCAGCGCTTTTCTTTCCAGCCCTGTTCAACAGCTTCTTCCTGTCTCCTTTTTTCAGGTTTTGTATGCAGAAGAGTGCCAAGTTGGTGCCAGGGGTGACTTTAGACCTTATTGAGAAGTAAGTGGCACACCACAGCCTTCCAAAAATAACCCAATACAAACAAACAAACAAACAAATAGGAGGACACAGTCCACATCGTTATCCTGGTCATTTCTTCATGTCTGTCTCTTGCTCTCTGCCTTCCTGTATGTCTCTTTGGCTCTCAGGGCTTGTGCAGAGACAGAGTGGGCTGTCATGTTTGTCCTGAAGAGGGGTTTTCTGTGTACTGTATATGTGTCAGTGAGTTCAGCAGCAGTGGTTTGATAATACTGTAAATGCTCAAATAGAACCTTTATTTTTAAACCTCAGCTGTAACGAGAGGCCAGACTTTTATTCAGAAGTATTATATTAGAACTGTGCTTTATTTCAAATGGGCACAGTTGCAGTATACTATGTACTGCATCATGTACATCATGGAACTTTATTTTGAATTCTTTTCTAGAAAATAGTATTTCAACTTTATTCTCGACATTTCGACTTTATTCTCGACATGCCTAAATTAAAAAATGTAATTTTCCTCCCTTTATTTTTTCCTTAATGTGGCCCTAACACCTAATCCACACTAAGTGCATTTTAAGATGCGTTGTATATGCGTGGCTTACGCCGCAGATAGAATTCCTACTTATCTAATGTGTCGATCTACACCGAATTCAAGATGCACGTGAAACATGCGTCTCCACTGGAACGTGATTTTTATGCTTCATTTATTTTTTATTTTTCGTGTTTAGTGAAGCATAATCTCCACAGACAGATGTTTAGATCCCACAAATCCCTTTATTTTCTGTTTCTGCTGGTAGTTATTATGGTGGATCACGCTGCTTTTGTTGTCACTCGCCTTCTGTAAGTGGGCCAGAGAGAATCAGTAAAATCAGTAAGTTCATGGGCTACGTATGCACATGATTTCTTCCTGATGAGCTCATATGAAAACTGCTTTAGTCCACTATGTTGATGTTGTCTGTCAGCCTGGTGAAGACTCTTTGTCCGTCCACTGTCCTGCACAGAAGGACAGGTGGGCTGATGACAGACACAGAACGCTCATATCTCACTTTCAGTGTGGATCCCATTAATACTCCATTGCTAATGTACAGTATGTTTTTAATAAGCCGCTGTGTTTTAAGATTTGCTGCCATTTTAATTTATTGGTGCTTTTGAAAAAAACGGCAAAGTAGAAGCAAATAAAAACTAACCAAATAAAGACAGACTTTTTTGCAGCGGACTGGTTCAGTAAATACAACATGACTCTTTTTGAATTTTGATGAAATAAGTGCTGTGAAAATGTTTATTATGTCCACGTGAGTCATCATAATGCAGGTGGTGTGTTTATGAAGGACTGTAAGTCCACACTGTTATACCAGTCTGTGTGGGACATTTATTTAGCCATTTGGTAATTTTTCATCATTTTTCTGGAATGACTTGAAAACTAATAATGATATCGGTGTCATTCCAAATGCCAACAGCAGGTTTTCATGTTCAAAGAATCATTTTACTAGGGTGCAATGGGTATTTCTTCCAGATGTGAAGGCATTATGGGGAAACTAATCTGCCAGGTTTGTGCTCTGGTTTTAGCCTGAGTGTCACATAACCATGTCTCAGTTGTCACTCTTCGTCCTGCTTTTACAGTTTCGTTAACTTTACCTTTTTTTCTTTCACCTTTGCATTTTTACACACCATTTCCCCAACTCCTTGCTCTCTTCTATCAAACACCACTTCTCTTCAGTGGATGAATATTATGCAAGAAATGCCCCAGTACTGTACAAAAGCTGCTGCCAGGTGACTCCCAAGGCAGAATGGGAAACCACTAGAGTGATGGCAGACACCTCTGTAGAAATAAGCCCTTTTTCCAGTTGTCTTCCACATTTTTTCTGCTTCCTGACTTCTCAGTCACACCAACATCAGTCAGTGGGTTTGACGGCAGCGAAGCTCTACATTCATGCTCAGATTTTAATGCCTTCTTCACCCTGTATCCCTTGTCTTGCCAGAATAAAGAATAGACTACTGTGGAGAGGTGAAAAAGTCATGCATGACCCAGTTATTATAAGGAGAGTTTTAACACCCACAAACATCCTGCTTGTGTATGTCAGAGACGCTGCTGGGCAAAGCATTTGGGCCTGATCTCATTCTGGTGTTAGGCGTAAGTAAAACATGGAACAGAAACATCAAAGATGTGACAGTTTAACAATGGTTTTGGAGTAAGTCTGCCAACTCAAAATGAAATTCTGAATCTCAAAGGCAAACGAACTGTGATCTGAATACAAAGCTTCAGTCAGTAACCAATCATTTGTTAGGCTTGAATGAAGTCAGCTCTAAACCAACGCATGAAAAAAAAACAGAACAGTTTGTCTAACCTCTCATCGTGTGCAGCCACGACTAGCAGAGAGAAAAAAGTTTCATTCTTATTTTAAAGAAAAAATCCCATCAAGGTGAAACAGTCGTACACAGATTGTTCAGCTGTGTTTTGTAAGATCCTGCACTCGGCTTTTCATGTTAGGCGTCTGCCTCAGACATCCCCACGGCAGGACAGCATACTAATAGCAAGCCAGTAAGGGTAAGAGAAAGAGTTCTGCACCAGCAAAGAGCTGACCTTTTTTATATTAGTATATACAGTGGGTACGGAAAGTATTCCGACCCCCTTAAATTTTTCACTCTTTGTTATATTGCAGCCATATGCTAAAATCATTTAAGTTCATTTTTTCCTCATTAATGTACACACAGCACCCCATATTGACAGAAAAACACAGAATTGTTGACATTTTTGCAATTTATTAAAAAAGAAAAACTGAAATATCACATGGTGCTGTGTGTACATTAATGAGAAAAAAAATGAACTTAAATGATTTTAGCATATGGCTGCAATATAACAAAGAGTGAAAAATTTAAGGGGGTCTGAATACTTTCCGTACCCACTGTATGCTCTGCTGAAATTGGATTTGAATTGTTGTCAGTTCTAAACAATATTGAAAACAGTAGTAAAATTAATTCATGCAATTTCATGACCTTGAATTGATCTTATAAGCATGGAAATAGTGAGGATGGAACTCCATATGGGAAAAATAAATGGTATGTCAATAACATGAATGTTAAAAAAGCAATAAAGATCATCTAAGTTACGTTAGGTAGGTGTGAAGAGAAGAAGCACATTAATGACACAGAAAGGCTATACAGTACTCCTCAGTCCTGATGTTGTCTGGCTTTTCATTTTTAATCAGTGAGGGGATTGTGGGTTTCCTGATGCTTAATTTGTTGTTGTTGCATTGTCCTGAATACTAACTCTGCTGATGTCCCTCAGAGCTCAAAAAAACAAAAATGGAACTAAACCCATTTGTCTCATGAAGCCGAACTAGGAGCCAAACTAAATTCAAGAGCCAAAGTTAAATATTTTTCAGTGATAAAAACAGGAAATGTCACGAACTGTGGGCTTTGTCGCTAGAAGAGTAATGGATATGAAGTTTCTTAAAAAATAAAAACGTCAGAGGACTTTGAAGCTGCACTGATCACCGTTTTATATTAACGATTGATCAAATGACTGTGTGTAATGTCAAAGGAGACACATACATGGACAAATTCACAAAAAAAGCGAACCAAATCTGCCATCCCCTCAGCTCTGTGAAGCCTTTTAGTCTCTTTTAGCTTATTATTTTGGTTTTTTTGTCTCGCAAACTTCAGCTGCAGGAGGAAACTATGAAGAACCTTAGGCCCATTACCTGCTCAGCACCAAAAGGCAGACAGACTTTTTGGAGAGCTGTTTAACATACTGTTGTATTTTATTATTACTGTAGTATTTAAAGAACCAGATGTTTTTTCCGGGTTTGGTTAAAACAGCCTAAAGGAGAGTACATATTGGACTTCATTTTATCAAGTGGTCACAAACAAGACACTAAAGAAAAGTGAAAATTGCTCTCGTTCTACTGGATGTGTTTGCTGCGTTATAAGGCAAAATTAATATCAGTGATGTCGCTGTTATGTTGCAGCTTGTTCTGCTGCCCCCAAGTGGCAGATAAATAATCAGCGTTTGCAGGTTTAAGTATAACTTTCTAAGAATTTACACAGTAAGTATAAAGAAAAACATGTCTTTGCCAGAATAATTTCAGTGATGTGGCTTAAAAATAGCATCTACTGTATTTGTAGTCTCCACTGGGATAAACACAAACATTTTATTGACAGTGTAACTTGTTGTGTAACCTCCTTTTGGATCGTATTGCTGTCCCTGGCTAAAGGTGCACATGGTGGTGCGACACTGTCAGATATACTCAGTACAGCTACATAGGATTACTTCTCACCAAGTGAAGTAGAAAGCGTGTTGTGCAACACTAGGAGCACAACAAAAAGCAGTTACTTCTCCTCCATAAAACACAGAGCATCACAGATTGATGATATATTCCTTTTCTATCTCCTAGCAAGACAGGCTGCTAATTCATGCTGTGTATAAAGCTTCTGGCGGCTATAGTTTTATCTGTACTGTCTTATCATTCTCACAGTTTGACATGATAACCTAAGTGTAGCTAATATAGCACAACCTGTCAGCTGTCTTAATGGTATCCTAGCAACAACACCACCAAAATCACACCAGGTTGCTTTTCTTTAGAGCTTTCAGTGGAGAGATGCGGGGTCAGCTTGTTATTGTTCAGGCTTTAAAATGTCCTGTGTTATTGGTTTTAAATAGTATTCAAAGCGCCTTTCTTCCTTTGTCACCACTTTGCTGTGTCCTGTTTACACATGTGGGCATGAGGAAACAGCTAATGGGCATTGCACTCACTCACCACTCACTGGGCTCATATTCACACCTTTAAAGGTCACACACTGTTGGAAACCACATGGCAAACACTCATCGCCCCTGAAACATTACAGCCTTTTGTTGTAGAATGTATTCAACATAATGTAAGCCTGGAGTAGTTGAGTGCTGTTCATTTGTTTATTAGTTTGATCATTCCTCTTTTTCTGCTCCATCTGTGAAGCCTTCTGTCTCCGCCTCCCACATACATCCAACACAAATTCTGGCTGTATCCAACCCCAAAAGCCTCTCAGACAAGAGAGTCACGATGCAAAGCACATGTAGACTGTACCTGCTCACGAGCTGCACGGTCTCTCTCTCTCTCTCTCGCTCACACACACTCATCCCTTGTCTTTCATCTCACATGAGGCTGACACAAGTGTGGTGGGTTAATCCCTATTCTTAGTGTCCCTCTGAGTCAGTCACAGTGAGCCTGGCCCCCCAGTGGGGAGGGCCAACCCACCTCCTTAGAGTCCGAAACCTGGCTGTGCTCAACTCACCAGGGGGTCTGTGAGTAGAAAGAATCTATCCTGCGATGGTAACTCAGCATCTATAATACTGAGGGGAGATACTTTGATCTTGTAAATAAAAAAAAACGTGATGCCCCATCTGTGCAGCAGCAACCTTTGATTTGGCTCTTTGCTCTGGATAAGAGTAACAGCTTATCCCTTGTATAGAGGACATTCTGATCTGACCCTGTGCACATCCTGTATCCATTCTCAGGTTGGTTCTTGATTCAGCTAAGGTCAGGGTGTTATAAAGGGCCTTTCTCTTTCTGCCTCATCCAAATGTGACACAGGCAATTAACCACTAAAATTAAAACTGGTGCCCCATCAATGATAAAAGTGGAGCCGTTGCATTATATAAGGTTTGATTTACTTACATGCGCATAAGCCTGCTTCATGTCCTGCTCAGTATAAAACGTCTCGCCTGCAGTGTTTCACTGTGGCTTTAAAAAGCCACATGGTTTCATTACAGCTTTGTAATTCAGCAGCTTGGTTGCTGTGACACACAGTGGGCCACGCTGAGCGCACATGGTGTGTTTGGACAGTTCTTTGTCTTCAGTGTGAGTTTGTAGCCGGGTATTTAATACAATTGAGGTACTCAGGGCGGATCTCATTTAGTATCCATAAATATTTAAAATTAATACCAGTAGCGGCCTTCTCCCGCATCAGACTTCATATCTTATATCCATTATTTATGGAAGTTAATCAACTTAAAGGCTTTTAATCAAGACCTTCACTATTTGGATCAAGCAGCTTGTGAAAAACTGTTTTGTGCCAGGTCTTCTGCCACTATGTGGATATAGAACTATCATCAGGACATTCCTATTTACAAATTAAGTGAGAACAGATATCAAATAATTAAGAATATATAGTTAAAATGAGAATCCACAGGCATTTTGATCAATGACACAGAGTTAAGCTCCTCAGGGGGCATTTTTCCAGTTACCCATCTATCTGTCCACCTTTCTCTCCTCAAATATATTGCACTGGATATACAGCAAGGATAAGAACTGCTGAGTGTTCATCCTTACTGCTGACTTGCCGAACACCTTTGGCAGGCACTCAAAGTGCTCAGGAGCTGACCGGCCCTCACTGTTACACAGTGGCTTTGTAACTTCCTGCAGTGTCACTGCTGCGATTATTTGTCAGTTAGGGGACTTTGTAGTTTTAGGTCAGAAGAGGTTCAGACACACTGTATGTTTAACTTAGAGAAGTGCTGATTGACTTAACATACCAGCTGCCAAACTGGTTGCGGTAAAATCCTTTATCTTGTTACTGAATTGCTTGTTGCACTCTGCATTACCACTGGTGGGTATGTCAGCCTTGTTTGTCACTTAATAGTTACTAACCCTGATCCTACTTCGGCTTAAACACTCCAGGGTTATTAGTATGTAAGAGAAATTGAACTCAGGTGCGATAAACCAGTGTTTTGACAGGGGGGCAAACACTTGTTCACACAGGGCTATATAGTTTTGGATTTTGTTTTCCCTTAATAATAAAAACCTTCATTTAAAAACTGCATGATGTGTTGACTTGTGTTATCTTTGACTAATATATAAATTTGTTTGACAATCTGAAACATTACAGTGTGACAAACATGCAAAAAGATAAGAAATCAGTAAGGGGGCAAACACTTTTTCACACCACTGTAGAACTATCATCAGGACATTCCTATTTACAAATTAAGAATATATAGTTAAAATGAGAATCCACAGGCATTTTGATCAATGACACAGAGTTAAGCTCCTCAGGGGGCATTTTTCCAGTTACCCATCTATCTGTCCACCTTTCTCTCCTCAAATATATTGCACTGGATATACAGCAAGGATAAGAACTGCTGAGTGTTCATCCTTACTGCTGACTTGCCGAACACCTTTGGCAGGCACTCAAAGTGCTCAGGAGCTGACCGGCCCTCACTGTTACACAGTGGCTTTGTAACTTCCTGCAGTGTCACTGCTGCGATTATTTGTCAGTTAGGGGACTTTGTAGTTTTAGGTCAGAAGAGGTTCAGACACACTGTATGTTTAACTTAGAGAAGTGCTGATTGACTTAACATACCAGCTGCCAAACTGGTTGCGGTAAAATCCTTTATCTTGTTACTGAATTGCTTGTTGCACTCTGCATTACCACTGGTGGGTATGTCAGCCTTGTTTGTCACTTAATAGTTACTAACCCTCATCCTACTTTGGCTTAAACACTCCAGGGTTATTAGTATGTAGACAGTAAACTTTGTTATCATTGCTCTTCTGTATTAAGTTGTTTGGCATCATGCACAGAAACATGGTAACAGCTGGACTTAAACGTAAAAGAGACAGTTAATAATGAGGCAGTCATCTTGTTGCCTTGAACGTACGCTAATACATTACACCTTTTGTGAGATTTGTTAATATGTTGTACTCCCTCCGTATGAGCAACACTTTGCTCTTAATGACAGCGATCTTTAAGGTTCGCTGAATATTGCACTACAAAATGGAACTGATAACATTTGGTTGCACCTTAAATCAAAACATTTAGACACATGTAATCACTGTCTGTTCATGTAGACACAACATACAGCATATTCCTCCTTTTTTGCTTTATGCAAACACAAATGACTTGTTCACTCATGTTAAGTGTAATAGGCGAAAGGAGAAAACCACATCCAGCACCTGGACTATCAGCACAGGTGCCCCCCAGGGATGTGCGCTCTCCCCGCTGCTGCTCTCCCTCTACACCAATGACTGCATCCCAGAGGAGCCCCTCTGTTAAACTGCCGAAGTTCGCAGATGACACTGGGAGCCACTGAAGTGGAGTCAGATTCCTTTTATTTTAATATACGTAGCAATAAAGATGATGATGAATATCTGTGAGCCAGCTAGTGTTTGCCCTCCATCTTCCCCCACTGCTTTACATAGTGTTCATTAAAAGGCAGATGGCTGCTGTAGGTGTATTGAAGGTAATTTTCTTGGTTTTGCTACAGGGATTACTGTCACATCATCTTGAACACTTTCTGGAAGACGTTTCCCTGCTTTCATATCCAGGTTGCTCCCACTCTCCAGTCACGGAGTAGCTAGAATTTATGCCAGATAACAAGCAGAGGAGTTTCTGTGAAACTTTATGTATGGTTTTTATTTAAACATCTCAAGTCCCTCTGGCAACACATTATAGATGCACACCTATGTTGACACTCTGCTGTAGTCATGCCCACTTAAGAACATGTTTCACTGTGTATGATATCATCAGACAGTTGCTAATGTTAGATTTCAGTAATGAGATGTCAGTCACAGAAGTTGCTTCACTGCAGTCTGGACAAATTGTATTTAATATGACAATATACAGCACGTACAGTAGGACAGCCTGTCTATCAATTTAAGATTTGATAATAATGAAACCTCTTAACAACAGAAAAACGTTTTTGTTAGTATAAGAGTATCAGCACATTCAAATAATACCACAGACATGCAGACCAAAATGAAAATAGATAAAATAAACTAAAGTGTCGCAGGTCTTGGTCAATCCAATGTTATTTAATGTCGAATTTCATTATCTGACCTGGTAAATTTGTGACTATATTTAGGTTGCAGTGAGAGGAAACGTCTGGCTTCAACTGTAGTAACTTTATTTTTGCCTGTTTGCACGGTTGGCTTCTGGCTTTATTAAAAGGCAAGGTGTTATCATACTGTACATCTATTATCCACAAACACCTAGTTTTCTGGTTGCGTTAAGTTACTAGTCAACTTTACTAGTACTATATTTTGAGTTTAATAAAATCATCATTTGATTTCATATTATTATTTGTAATTATTGATCTTAACTAAACAGTTGGACATTTTTCCAGTACAACACCTGGAATTTCCACTTTAATTCAAGTGTTGAATGTGTCGGATTTGGCTTTTTTGGGTCGTTCCAATGCAAACTAAAGACATAAACATGAGAATAATGAGAAGAATTTGTGATTGAAACAATGCAACACTTCCACTGTAACATCTGTGTTTATGAAGCTCATTTCAGGTTTTGGTAAATTACCATGATCTATAAATTATTATTGAGGTCATAGTTAAAGGTGGTGTTGTACTTGACTACATTATATGTAAAGGTTTCACTATATTTTTGTCCTTCCCAACTACATACATGAGGGGGTTAAAATATTAGGAAGGGCCTCTTTCTCAATAATCAGATCAGAGTGTATCGCTGCAGATGTGTCTCTGCTGAGATTTCAGCACACAAGCATTCCCTTGTGCTTAATTCCCTTGAGACAGCTCGGCAGAAATAATGCCTCTGTATGTAATATGTGGCAATATATAATCTAATATAAGCTAAATGCTGCATTCTGTCTCTACTTGTACCTGATGTTACTCTGTCACTGTTATGTCCCTAGAAAAGCTCTTGTACCTGATGTTACTCTGTCACTGTCATGTCCCATCTGCACACACGAGAGTATAGACACAGATGTTTGTCCCTCTGAGTGAGAGGCTAAGTGCCTGTAAATTTAAATGTCTTCAGATGTGTGGTGTTAATACTGCTGAGGAGTTGCCACCTTGTGCTCTGAGTCTACTATGTGACATATAATGACTGCAGCTGACGCAGTGCCATCTGTGTTGTGTTGTGTGTGTGTGTGGTGCAGGATTCCTGGCAGGCTCAATGACAGGCGCACGCCCCTTGGAGAACTCAACTGGATCTTTACGGCCATCACTGACACGATTGCCTGGAATGTGCTGCCGAGAGGTAAGACTTTACACATTCAGACACAGTCTTTACTAAAAAAGGGGGCCCCTTTTTGTGGCAGTGAGCTATTTCTAACGGCAAAAACACACTAACAAATGTGGAAGTAACTGTGGTTGTCTGCTCCAATTTAAAAACAAGAACCTCCCAGTTCATGCACTGTGTAATATTTCACCTTTATATGGCAGCTGGTCCTGGATGCAGTGGTATGTGAGTGTTAGCTGCTTTGTCTTAACGCTTTAAAATCTGGGGAAGTTTTCATGTCCACTCCTGCACCTCCAGCCAGCATTATGCGAGATACAGTCGTACCCAGTTGTAATAAACTGGGATTATTTTCAAAAGCAGAAACAAAGCAGCAAACAAGCAAGAGCACACCTAAGCTATGTTTAAGGTGAAGAACAACTTCTAAAGACATCTGAGGCATAGTTGTGAAAGTGTAAAAATCTTTATTTAAACTATGATGATGAAAAATAACATAACCTGTGTTTCAGCTCATAGGGAGCCTAAAATAAGGACATCTAATAAAAGCAGTACAGCAGTGATGCGTCAGCAATAGTAAAACTTTGAGAACATCCCCAGTGGTCAAAAACAGACAAGGTCGTGATATAAAATGCCACAAGTGCAGAAAACACAGGTTGGTTCCTCAAATTGAGATTAATTGTATTTCAAGCATCTAGCACAGTACCTGGGGATATCATTTTAACCACAATTTGGTGGTCATAGAAGCAGACACAAACTCGCTTGCCCAGATGACAACACACACACACACACACTGCTTTTTGGAATGGACTTGTCTTTTGCATGCAGTACACACAGACTCTCTCGCTGCTCACCTATCTCTTGTATGCATCACAAATCCACAGATACACACATCCGGTACACTCACACTCTCCTGAGACAAACTGTAGCCCAGCTTGAATAGCAATGTGACAATGCTGATGGCGCCAAAGCTTTCTAAAACCCTCAGGCCTCCGTTGTTAATGAAGCAGCCCACATCAGAGAGAATTCTTGTAAAGAAGGCTTTGCACACATAATCCAGATCACACACGCACTACCAAAAACACTTGAGTATTTGAACAGTGCAATGTTAAGAGCAGGCACAGGGGTTGTCAGCCACTGTCTCTCTTAAAATATCTCACACGCGTTTTCTTATTATAGTTGTCAGTGGTGATTCAAAGACGGACCGTGGAGGCTCTCTTTGCAGGTAGCATCCAGGATGGGAGCAGGCATGTTAGACCCAAGAGGCTGTTTTCTGTAGCACGGAAAGAATGCAGCAAAGAGTGAGACAAAACCAGGGTTAACATCGGTTTGGCATGTCAGAGATGGAGAGCACTAAAAGCATCCAGAGGACTAAAATCTGACACAGATGCGGCTTTCTTCCTGCTTAGATGCCTAAAGAGTTAGCTAACACGTATATGTCGACATGATTAGCAAGCTAACATTAGCATTTCAATTTTATATCTTTGTATTGAATTATTCTGGTTGTAATTTGGAGTCATTCCAACTGACTATAATGTTATTTGACATTGTGTCTCTGCAATACCACCAAAAACCACGGCCTCTATGGGCTCTACATTCCATATACTGGTTATTACTGCTGCACTACCTGCCTGCCACAACTAGCTCCAGCTGTCATGACCTCATCAAGCCTTAACCTCAGTACAGGCAAGGTGTTCTCACAACATTGGTATTGGTTTATAATTTGTCCTCACAACCACAGAAAGACATGTACACAGACACAAACAGGGGAGTCATAATCATAAGCCACAGAGACTGGGTTTGGCCTGGCCCCATTAAAATAAATTAGTGAATAGATTCATGGGCTGATGAAAATGTGACAGCAACACTTTGCTTAAATCAGCATATCACTGTCCTCTAGACTCTGTAAGCATATACACAAAAGTGTCTGCTTTGCTCTAATTCAGCTTTTTTCTTTGACCCACTTTGATTTTCAGTCACCCATTCCACGCCCCACTTACCCCTCTTGTAATACTGTCTTTGTGCTATGATTAAGTCAGTGCCCCTATTCTGACCTCTGACATTATAGACAATCTCTCTTCTCTTCCTGTCTTTAGATTTGTTCCAGAAGTTGTTTCGTCAGGACCTGCTGGTGGCCAGCTTGTTCCGCAATTTCCTCTTAGCAGAGAGGATAATGAGGTCATACAACTGTACACCGGTTAGCAGCCCCCGCCTGCCCCCAACATACATGCACACTATGTGGTAAGACATACACATAAACAGCACTAAGAGGTTCTCTGCTTCATACACATAGATGTGTGTATGGTAATGATTTTAAGTACTTACTTTTAAAACAATATAGACAGATTAAGAAAATGCTCTTAACCTGGTCACACAAATGCCAGAGAAAAACAGTCAGTAGCAATGTGCGTTGTGTTTTTGTGCCCATCTTGTTTGTAATTTTTCATCTTACTTTAAGGTAACTAGAAAAGCAGTCCATGTTGTGCTGCTGTGATATGCTTCCAGCAGTGCTAGCTACTGTTCTAGAGTTTAAAGAGCTTAAGGGAACACTCTGACATTCTTAGAATTCTGCTCTTATTTTGCTTTTACACCCACACTAAGGTGATAAGCTGGATATCAGCATTCAGTACTGATTTTGTCTAAGGCTTGTTTAGGTTAGGACAGAGACTGCAGGCCAGCAGCTAGCTTGTTTCAGTGAAAGTGGCCTCATATGTGTCCAAAGCTGTTATATTGTATCTTCAATTGTACAGATGTGTGCTGTTGGTTTGACACCTGTAGAAATGAAAAGTGTTACGCTGGTTTCACAAGGTGTTTGATGGCCTGTTGGTGCAAATGACTTGTACTGAGCAGCACCAGCTACAGTAGGTTTGATGCCTGTAGCATCTCAGTGGTCCTGTCCTCAGAGTTATAGTGTCCACTTTACACACTTTCCTGACTTTCAACATAACCCAGACAATGGTTTGGAGGCTGTTTAGATAACAAACAATAGCCCCTTATGCACAGAGATCTCTTACTCAGGCTTCCAACCCCCTCGTTCCTCCCTGTCCTGTTTATACTGGAGGTAAGGTGAACTTGTCCCGGCAAAAATACTACCTCTCCTTGCAGCATTTTGGAGGATCAGCATAAAAAAAGACCTCCCATGCCAGTACTGCACCTTTTAACCTCATAACAGCGAGGTGGAAAACTACTGCATTGAATGGGCAGGGTGGAAGGGACTAATAACAACTGTGTGAGGTTTGAACAGTGACGCTGTAGACCTGTGGTTTGTCGAGAGGTGTTACAAACAGAAGGTTGCTATCAGAAACAGCTAACAACCAGCTGGTCCAGCAAACTTGGCAAGCCAGGTTTGTTTCTGTACAAGATGTTGGTATTGCACTCTTGCCACCTGTTACGGTCCATTGCTAATATAAAGTGAACTCTCACGCAACACAGGACTTTCCAAGCTCGCAGATTGCTGTATTTGCACTTGAATACACAACAATGTTGCCAGAGGCATTGTTGTCGCACAGTCAGTCGTACAGTCACTGATCTAGAAGAAAAATGAGGACAAATATGTTCTGTCGGGGCTGCCCATGCAAATGCAAAAGCACACTATATAAGAATTTGTGAGAGTTTCTCTGCTTTTATTAGAGACAAAAACTAATGCTTTAATTACTTGAACTCCAAATAAAATTTGTATGAGGAAGCATAAGCCAAGACATGTAGGTGTTTTATATTTGCTTCTTCCCTCTAACATAGACACACACCTCATTTACACTAAATATAATTTCCATGGCTTTGTTTCCCATTAATTTTTGTATGTTGACTTTTGCCAGTGTTGATGTATGTGTTGCTCAATGCTTCATGGCAGAGGCAGCAGATATAGCAGTGTCTTCACTAATAGCAGCTTCAGTCGGCCTGAATGCAGGGTAGACAGAGACGAGACGGGCTGTATATAGAATAAGGAAATTGCTCTTGCCTTAAGTGCCCATACAAGCACACACATAACCTCCAGCTGAATATACAGTATGACTGAAACCAGCAAGATAACTCTTGTTCTGCAAAGAGATATTACAAGACACCATGGGACATGTTGGCCATAGACATGGCGGATTTTGGTTAAAAGCAATGGCGCCACAATCAATACATACAAATCTACCAGTTCCTAAAAAATAGTTTTGGAATTTGAGAGTTGTGTCTCTTCTGCTCACACAGCTTGAGGCCTGCACCATCATTGTTGCAGTGTTTACATTTTCCACCATCTTACTCACTTGTAAGACTTCTGATTCTGATTCTGATTCTGATTCTAAAAGTATATAAAACGGACACGGAGGTACTGAAAAGCCTTCATGCTCTATGTTGACTACATGCTCCTCCACACTGTGTAAGAACCATCCCATCATCCATCTCCTTTTAGTTCAACACACACTTCTCCCACTACCTGTTGTTTCTCTTGTTGTTCTGCTATAAATGACTCTCTCCATCTCTCCCACTCATTATCGGGTTGGTGTTGGAGAAAAAAGCAAAAACACCAAAACGAGGCACTCTCTCATTCTCTTTGCCTTGAGGAGCGACGTGTTGTGTAACGGCCTGGCATCGCTTATTGTAACGAATACTGTTCCTTCCTTCGTGAGCCAGCAATAGGCCTTTTGTCTGTCTCGTGCACACCCATTATTTTAGATTGTGGTTATATTGCACTCCTTACCGTCAAAGAAATTGGGAGTTGCCCTGTGTTTTACAGCAGCACATGCACTAATAAACAGGCCAGAATAATGACAGAGAGGTGCTTTTAGACTGCAGGAAATGAGACTGAGATGACGATGAGAAATGGGAGTGCCAGAGATAAAAGGCAAGAGAAAAATAAAAGTTTGGATCAGCATGGATGGGGCGAAGAAAGATGAAGAGGGGGAATTAAGCAATTTGGGGGCTTGTTGATCGATGTTGTTGCACAGACACAAACAGCAGTTGTTATTCAAATAGAGCAGAATATGGGAGAGCAGATAAACCCAGGGCTGATTAGTCCCTTGTGGGCAGTTTCAGTGTGGAAGTGTGTGTACATGTGTTTTATGTGTGTTTGTGAGTGTGCCTCGCTGCACCACTCTCTGCAGGCAATAGGAAAAAGAGCTTAGTCAGCCGCCAGCTGGTCCCTTGCACTCCTCTGTTGTCAGCTGTCCCCTCATCTCAGGCCCCTCCCGACACACACGGGTTTTGGTTATGAGTTACATGTTTGTATTTGCAGGCATCATCATATTTAATGTTGTCATCTCAAACGGTGTGGCCAATTCCTCCCAGTGAGCATGTCCTCGCTGATTACACTGGTCTCTCTGCTTGTTTCCTCACCAGTGGGTTACATAAACACAGACGGGGATTGATTTTTATCCGCAATATTTCTACACATTCCAGTCCCAGTGCTTCAAGTTATGAAACCTAAAGAAATAGCTTTCTGATTCCTTCTGCGTAAAAAAATTATTTTCTGAGTGACCTGTGCTTGTGTCATCTCAGTTTTGTCAACTGTGTCAACTTTATGTGCCTTTCAGGTGTGTTCAATGATTACAGGAAAATGTAAAGTCTTATTGTCAGATTTCATTATTTTAGTGCTTCCTTATATTTGTCACTACTTTGAGATTCAGTAAGAAAGAGACGAGATACATTTTCAACATCCAGCTGTACAATCTACAACTCCTAAATCTTTTTATTACTGATTTAAAAAGAAAAAAAGAAAACCTTATCTAATCAAATTCAGATGAGTAAGTTAGCATCATGCTGACTTCACACAAGCATTTTACTAAAGGACTTAGTAGCAGCCATACACGTTAGAGTTCATAGTTCATTCAGTAGTACCATTACATTATTATGTAGAAAGCTCCAGCTGTATGAAAAGAAAGCATGCTGTGTAAGATGGAGGGGGAATCGTTTGCTTAGCAGCAGTTATTATAATAAAGTCGTGGTCACAGAGAGCAGGTGGGATACTGTAAAGTGAAACTGTGCAACATTTGCTAACAATAACCGATTTATTGCAAGTGACATTGCAAGTTGATGATAATTGGTAAAACATGGTAACAAAGAAGAGAAGTCGGCTCACTCACAATCAGTAAAGGTTGTATCTGGAAATATCTCCGAGTGTGTTGGATGGAGAAATGGTATGTTTTTGTTGTTTATCACTTCCACTTTTTATTTGTCAGAGGAACACAGTGATATTTCTCCTCTCAAAAGTTCCAGTGTCATTGAACATACCTTGTAATAGAAGAGTGACACAGTCATTCCCACATACAGTAATGCAGTGGAAAGTACCACGGGCCTCCATGAGATGTGGACCTTAAAACCAGTCACTGGAAGGAACTTACATAATGTTCTGTGCACAAACAGTAATTAAGGTGGATTTGATGGTCACTTGGATTGCAGGAAATGTGTTTGTAGAGCTTTTCAAACTGGGAGGTGCACCTTCCCATGGGGCGGGAAATGTGTCAACAGCAGTTTGCATCAAAATTTGTACTCTTTCATAATTCAGTCAAATCTAAATCTACAGATGTGCCATACATACTGTAGCTTTTAGACTCAGAGTCATAGCAATGTTCATCGTGAATAAACATCTATAAATCCACTTAGAAATCACAGACGTAGACACTCCATACGACTCCAGGACTTACCTTTGACATTTTATATTAAGTTTTTGTCAGGATGACAGTAATCCACTGATAGCTGTCTGTACATTCACAGGTCCATCGCAAATTGCTAAATGCTAATTCAATGTGCTTAGAATTTTTGGTTTGTGTATGCCATCCATCTGAATTTCACAAGGTCTAAATTCTTTAACAGCGAGCCTTATTTGGCAGCAAAAAGCCTTGTAACATGATTACCACCTGCTCTTAATAACATGGTAATGTCTCGTTTGCACTATTGATGTTTTTGCTGGAAGGCAAAGTGTTTTTCCTGCTGCACTAGCAACAGAATTTATAAATTCTCCCATTTAGCCTGAACTTGTATCAGCAGACATAAATGCAAACATAAATAGCCTCTTTTAACCACCTACCAAAATTTATCTCCCAGGTTTCTAATTAGACATCACTTTTTCTTTTGCTACCAAACTGCAATTTATGTTTGCATGTTGCACTTGCATGACATCAGTAGGAGCCACTGCATCTTCAATACTGTGGTGTCGACTAAGAGAGTAACTCAGCTAACGGAAAAGCTGCCTAATTAGAAGAAAGATTCTCAGATGGTATAAACTCTGTGCCACTGGTTCAGCAAAACCCAAACTTGTACTAACAGAGAGGAAAAAGCTCCATTGAAGCCCTGAGCCCAATTTGCTGCAAGAAAGAAAAAAAAAACCCACAAAGAGAGAAGGGCAGAAAGGTAGAATAGAGAAGTTGTAATAAGGCTGGATGTTACTTACACAACCTCATAAATTAGATATGTTGACAGGAGAGCTCGTGTTTAATATGTGATTAAAGGCTCATTGCTGCCCTCTCCAGGACCTCGGGCTAGAAATTTAAAGAGGTCTGTGTGCACAGGAGGAGCCAAGGGAGAACATGTGAGCTGAAGGAGCGTGAGAGGTGGGGTGAAAAGCCGTGACGAAGGGCTGAAATTTTTCTGCTGCTTCAGGTCACAAATTTGAGAATAAATTTAAATTGCAGTAAATGTGTGTGGAAGAATTGGACCGGTGTATTGACTGATACAGGTGTATTGCAGATACTTTATGTCATGTCTGCTCATACTTAAGTACTTTTACTTCAGTAAAAATTTGGTGGCAGGAGTTTTTATTTGTACTTACTTGACTGACTGACTTACTTACTTACCATCTATGCCGTGGTATTAATACTTTTATCTACTGTGGCTTCAGAAGGTTTTCAGAGCATAACTTGTAGATACTTAACCAAGAAGACAGTGCTGTAATCACCGTCAGTGGGTCTGAGTACTTGGTTAAGCTTTGCTAGGTTTTCCCGAGGCTTTCAAATGGCTTTAGGCACTTTATTAAAACATATTTATTTAATGTTGTCTACTGTAACTCCCTTCCTTGGCTAACATACTATAACTTAGCTGATTCTGTATGTGTTAGCTACATTAGCAGATTCTTTACTTGTAAAACAGGCAACATTGTGCTTTCTCTGTCATTACCATTTGCAAGATTTACTCCCCAGCAAAGTTATAGCCTACTTCATGTATTCTTTGTGGAGGCTGACTTTCATGATGACTGTAACAACTGTCCTGAATTGACTGTACAGAGAAATATCCAATCAGCTGTTTGATCAGCTCGGCGATGCTGCCAGTCACACGAACGTTCATCCAAACACTGATTCCTCATTGACAGGTCATTCCTGTTTGCCAGCTTGCATTTCATTTTGAGGTCAAGTCACATCTCCTTTATTTTTCAGTGCATATAACTCACTGTTGTTTTTAACATTCATTCTGGTATGTTGCCTTTCATTCATTCAGTTTAGGCGCTCCTCAAAAACACTCTCTACGGTGTTATGGATTATTGAGTGTAGATTTGTAAGCAACCAATTTAAAATTGAATTGGCAACACAGTAAAGTAAACAAAAAATGAATGGGCATAAAAGAGAGATGACTGCTTCCACCCTTGGATTTCAGTATTAGTCTCAAAACTCCTTTATCATTCAGGCTGAATTGTGAGGTTTTTAGGGATCTTCCTTCTAATTCCTTTGTAATTCTTATGTTGCTTGTGTGTATGTGTGTGCACATGCATGTGTTCCCTCTCCATAGGCAAGCGTGGGACCTGGCTGTGGACATCTGCCTCTCTCAGCTGCCTACCATCATCGAGGAGGGCACCGCCTTCAGAGTAAGTGTGTGTGAAAGAAAAACGAGCACGTGACCTCTTCTGCTTTGCTTTAAAGATGCTCCATTTGATCGTGTGTTTGAACATAAATGTGTGTGGTAGAGGTCTTCATCGGTCCAAAACGGACCCGTGGAAAGCCCACCTGAACCCATTGTGCTTAGACAGGTTTTCAAAAAATAGTGGCCCGATTCAAGGAGGGCCCGAGCACAGGCAAACATGACCAAAACAGACTCGAGGATAAGCAGATTCAATCTAAAATGCAGTCGACTTGGACACAACAAAATCAGCTCATACTGTGAAGACTTGGGTCCATTCCAATAGTGGACATACTGACATACAGAACCAAGACTAGACCCGACCTTATTAGACTGATCAGAATTTGGACCCGACCCAACTTGGGTTCCGGCAGGACACACAAAGACCTGTAGTGTGTGGTTATGGGGCGTCTAGCTTTGATAGATGGCTCTCATCTTGGATCTTTCCACTACTGACGCCTGTAAACCTTAAACAGTTCTTGTTTGTACTGCAAATTCTCCATCACCAGCATCTACAGCATCTCTGTTAATCTCTGTCACACACGCGTGCACACAATCCCAGAGGATATCACTGTACAATGTCAAGCCAAATAATTCATGTGTGAGCGTCAAATAAAAAATAGTTGGCGAAACCAGTGGCCCTGCACTTGTAGCCTCTGGTGTATTTCTTCTATTTACTGATGTGGCAGGGGGCTATGATGGAGATGCTGAGTGTAATGGAAACACAGAGCGAGAGGCTGATGGAACTGATGATCTGCTTCAGCACAGCCCATTTTTATGTATGCGTGTTTGTGGGAGAGCAAATGCTGGACAGAGACCAGAGAAAACAGTTTTCCCAAAGTTAGCACTTTTATCTGGGTCTTTTCTCTCCTCCACATGGCCCTGGTGGTGGGCATCGTCTCCATTGCTCTCAGAGGAGCCATTTTCCATCCTCACTCCTACTATACTTTGCCCTGTACTCAGGCCGAAAACACTTACTGGCCCGATAATTGATCCTCTGAGGACCACTAAAGGAGATCTTCCCTCTCTGTCTTGCTCCCTCTTTAAGGATCCTTTAATTCCTCTTTCACGAACATCAACTGTTTACCTCCTTTTCCTGTTGCTGCTGCAGCACTTGGACTAAGCATAAGAAATACAAAATATCCATGGTACAGCTCTAAAGTAGTTCTTGCTTTTTACTTTTACTGTTTCCTGTTCAACTGTATAGTTTGCAAAAAAGTGTTTGTATTCCCATAAGTACCACATACTGATCACTCTGTTTCAGAAACAGCGAGTGCTTTAAGAACATCAGAACCTGGAATGTCTAATTTCTGTGTGTCAGCTCTCCAGTACACATGATGGCACAGTAGTGCAGTGGTTTGCACTATCACCCCACAGTGAGCAGGTTCTGGGGTTTTTCCCTGTGTGGAGTGTGCATGTTCTGCCCGTGTCTGTGTGGGTCTCCTCCGGCTTCCTCTCACAGTTCAAAGGCAAGCAGGCTAGGTTAGCTGTCCAGAGTGTACCCTACCCCTAGCTGCCCCCAATCTTCCCAGGCTTCCCAAGCCCCTCTGCCACCTTCTGCAGAACAAACTGATGGATGGATTGTGTTGTATTCATTACTGTGAGCAAAGGTGCTATTTCCAGTGGTAGACAGAGGAACCCTGACTTTTCAGAAATCTCATTTTTGTGGTTTTAGTTAGATTTTTGTGCTAAAATCTCCCAGACCAATGGTCTCTTAGCCACCATAATCCACATCAGAGTCTATAATAGTGTTGATAACTTCCAGCTGAGTTGCCTTCAATTATTATTATACACTAAGAGCAATAAGCTGGGTCTGCATGCAGCCTGAGAGAGCGCCTGCAGGCACTGCTCAGGGCTGCAATAAACACATCCACACTCTGTGTTTTATTTCCTCCAAAAAGGCATTAAAATGTATTTCGTTTCCTTTAAGACTTTTTAATTTAGAAAATTGTCAAATATTTTCTCTACTGCTGCTGAAGTAATGTTAGATATAAAATGTTTATGTGTCTGATTGCTGGCTGTTTGGGGAGGTCACAGACCGATAAACTAAAAGTAAGACTGCTGCATGCAAGCGGCTGCTCAGTCCTCTGTTGTGGACTTTCAGTCAGCACCCTCAGAGCTGCAGCTAGCAGTGAGCAAATGTTGAATGCAGAGGAAACAAATCAGTCAGTTTTAATTGATTAATCCATCTGCCCCTTTACTGCTACTTGTCCAGTTCCAAGCTATGTTAACTTTGATTAATCATTAGGAATTATTGGCTTATACTGCAGGTAAGTACTTAAAAAGTGTGATATGCAGTAATGATAAATCCAGTTAATGTCAGAGCTTTACATACAAACAGATTTTTTTAACCACTCCACAGATGTCTTGTTAACTCTTGTTTGGCAAGTTGGTTAGGACTTGTATTTTACGCATGACACAATTAATTTGTCCAGAAGTTTTATATATATAATTTCACTATATCACAATTCCAGTGGGAATTATGCAGAAGCCGCTGCTTCAAAACCACCATAAAAAGGCAGACTATGGTTTTCAGCTGCACGTGGGGACAAAGGTTTTACTTTTTTGACAAATGTCCTCTGGTTTGATAAAACAAAAATCGAACTGTTTGGCCATAAAGACCATCGTTATGTCTGGAGGGAAAAGGGGGAGGCCTGAAAGCCAAAGAGCACCATCCCAACAGCGAAGCATATCACAAGACATCAACCAGGAGGTTAAAGCTTGGTCAATGGGTCTTGTCCAAATGGACAATGACCTCAAGCAGATTTCCAAAGTTGTGGAAAAGTTGTTTAAGGACAACAAAGCCAAGGTACTGGAGTGGCCATCACAAAACCCTGACCTCAGTCCAATAGAACATTTGTGGGCAGAACTGAAAAAGTGTGTAAGCAAGGAGGCCTACAAACCTGACTCAGTTCCACCAGTTCTGTCTGGACGAACGGACTAAACTTCCAGCAACTTATTGTTAGAAGCTTGTGGAAGGCATCCTGACATGTTTGACCCGAGTTAACCAATATAAAGACAATGCTACCAAATACTAACCGAGTGTATGTAAACCTCCACTGGGAATGTAGCTGAGATAAATCTTTTCTTCTACTGTTATGCTGACATTTCACATACTGACCTAAGACAGGGAATGTTTATAGGATTAAATGTCAGGACTTGTGAACAGCTGAGTTTAAATGTATTTGACTAAGGTGCATGTAAACTTCTCACCTCAACTGTGTTGGTTTTCATATTTATATTTTATATGCTCATACTTTGCACAGTTTGATTGTAAACCAGATAAGCTGTATTGTGTATAGTCTTAAAACATCTTGGAAATTCTTAAACTAGTTAAACTTGTCCTAAAGAGATACTAACTCTTTGTAGTAAAGATGTCCATACCACATTATCTATTATCACGTATGAGGTCTCTGTAAAGGAAACTAAGCATGATTTTAAGTAGTTTTTAGTGAAACAGGACAGAATTTAACATTTTTCTACTTCAGAAGCTTACTCTTTACGTTAGGCTTACTGTACACCCACCTTGCAATACACCCATTCTTTCTCTAATAGTGTATATGCATGTATGTGTATAGAGCCCTTAAGCTTTGATTATGCACAGATTAATTTAGTCATACAGTGTTGATGTTTCTCCTCTCCACATCCATCAGCCGTGTACAAGGCACTGTCGTAACTCCCACAGCAATATTAACAGTCAACGTGATCAAAAACTCTGCAGCTGGAAACCAACCAATCAATCAGGCAAACTACCCTGGCAGCAGCAGAGAGAGAGGGGGAAGGTGATCATGATAGATCAGGATTTATGTTTTACTGCAGTGCAGTGTCACTTCTGAGCTCATTTTGTCAGGGCTGTTATGAAATGATAGGGCAGTCACTGCAGGCTACCTCATCATGTGTGTGTGTTTGCGTGAGAATGAGTAAGCATAATCAGTTCTTCATATTGGTGTTAAACATTTGGGGCGGTGGGGGTGTTTTCTGTCCACAGCACAGTCCTTTCTTTGCGGAGCAGCTGACGGCGTTTCAGGTGTGGTTGACGATGGG